GCCCACAAAGGCCGCGACAAGAGGGATTCAAGTGCCATGGGTGGCGCCCCATACTATGTGTGTTTGTGTGTGTGTGACTTCGGGACCCCTAATATTCTCCAACCAACTGACTGACTGACTCATGTCGAGTTACTGAGTCACAGAGTTCAATCGATGCTCTACGTGTGTGGCAAAACCAAAGCTAACATCTCAGTGTGTGTGTGTGTGTGTGTGTGTGTGTGTGTGTGTTTGCGTGTGTGTGGTATTCCAAACGTGTGGGCTGCGATTACAGCACTAGTTTTTTTCTGTCTCGTCTTCAATCTTACTAAATTTATCTGCTCACTGCTCTTCTTCTTTTTCAATCAAGATTTATGCTTTCTGACATGTTTAAAAGCGACTGGAGAAATATAGCTACTAGAATATTGTGTATATTTTTGCATGAGTGGAACGCTGTATTAATCAATTAGCATCTGACACAAGATCTATCTGCTTTATAATCGTAAATACGCTAGCAGGCAAATGTTTGGATACATTTACTCCACTATTTGTTCTATTAATAACCTATATTTGACTAATTTAAGCTATTAAAGTAGGCTTAATTTTTAGCTAAGTGTGTCCAAACTGTTGACCACTAAAGTTCTTTAAGAAATTATTTAAGCTTCTACAAAGTTTTTTTGTTGTTGAAAACTTTTATTATGCACAGAAAAACATTCATCTCCCTTCTTAAAAGAAAACAAGAGGCCAGAGGAAACAGCAGCAGCTTTGTTAAGTTAGCGAGGAGCCGCGCGCCTAGCGAGAGCGGTTATGATTCATGTCGTTTCATCATACGGCTCTGGATGCGTCGCGCCAGCTGTGGTCTGCACCTGCAACTCCAGAAAACAAAAACACAAACCAGAAACCAAATGGTTCCCCTTCGCTCACCCTGTCCCAAAAGAAAGAAAAAAAAACACAAATGAGATCTCTTTAATGTCTCGATTATTTCTCTGAAACTATGAGATGGAGAACAAGAGACGTCTGCTTACATCTGATGCTTTGCAAATGTTTCTCCTGAGAAAAAGACTCAGAGTTTCAGAAAAGACCTCAATGTCTCAAATATGGCTCACATTTGCACAAGTTCTCAAGATCATCTCAACATGCTATCCACATTCATTTTATACCACTATAATCTTACTGTATGACATTTATTGACTCAGTTGCGTCTGGTATTATTACATTTACAGACTTCACAGAGACTAAAGTGAGGCAATCCCCGTCAAAATGAGGTCTCTTTAATCTGATACATCTTAGATTTCTACTGAGAGATAAAAAATATCACATGTAATCTCACATGCATAAACTTCAGAGTTTCAGAAGGGCTCTCAATATCTCAAACAGTGCTTAATATTATCTCAGTATGATCTCAACATGCTATCCACATTCATTTTATACCACTATACTCTTACTGTATGTCAATTATTGACTTATTGTTGAATTATTTATTATCGAGTCGTGTCTGGTTTTATTTTCTTTAAGAAGAATTTACAAAGGTTAATTTGTAAATAAAGCACGTCGGGGACACCATTAAATCTCCTGAGCTATGAAAGAGCAAACTCTGAGCAATAAAGCTCATGACTAGATTATTTTCTTCAATCCACCGCTCAATTTTTCATTTCCAAATTCAAGTCGATTCCAATTGTAATTCGTCCCTGCAATCTTATGTTTTTCAGACTTCATAGAGACAAAAGCGAGAAGATCCCCATCAAAATGAGATCTCTTTAAAGTCTCAATTATTTCTTTAATACAATGAAATGAGGGGAGTGAAACATCTGCTTGCATTACCTGAGAAAAAGACCCCAGTAATCGCACATTAGCAAACTTGAGAGTTTCAGAAGAGATCTCAATGCCTCAAACAGTGCTCAATATGATCTCAACATTAATTTTATACCACTATACTCTTACTGTATGACAATTATTGACTCAGTCATGTCTGGTTTTATTTTCTTTAAGAAAAAAAGTCTGAGACAAAAGCGAATATGTAAATAAAGCACGTCGGGGTCACCATTAAATCCGCAATAAAGCGGTCCTCGGATATAATTCCCTGTCCAATTTTTTCCTTTCCAAGTTCAAGTCGATTCCATCTATAATTCCTCCCTTCAATCTTACATTTTATGGACTTCACAGAGACAAAAGCGAGACGACCCCCATCAAGGGTTTCTCAATGCCACCTCCTCCATACAAACAACAGCTTTTGTCCGGGATTCGAGAGCCGACGGGTGGCCATACGCTTTCTGACCCTCTTCACAGAGAGGTAGAGCCTCTGCAATTAAAGGTTTAATTAACGGATCCGACACTTTACGGCACAGAGAAGAAAGCTCTTTGAGCGAGAGGTGAAAGGGACATTGGCCAAGCTTTTGTGGCTCTCAGATTCCCCGTACAGCCGTACGATTGGTTTCTCATTACGGTTCACACTAAATTCAGCTTTTTAATTAACTGCACTGGAAACTTCATCCAGGACCGATTCCAACAGCCTTTCGAGTGGGTAGCTGGATGTTTTATGACCCTCTTTTCTCGCGTGGTTTGCAATGCGACAGAACAAAGAAAATCACTGGACATTTAAACGCATTTTAGAGCCTCAATTTAAGTTTCTGTTGTGGATATAAACATTCCCACCATTCCAAAGAAAGACCCCGAAACTCACCAGACCAGACCCGATGTCAAATATAAGCTATTTGAGTAGGGAATGGGATGTAACGATTAACCGCGAGCCGGTTGAAAATCGATTAAAATATGTGACGATTCAAATCGGTTGAGATGTTAAACAAATCGCGATTCAATTAGGGGTATGAGTTTATATGAATGTATGTCTGAGGGGAACTTACTGTCTTTAATTATAGTGTTATATTTTAATTTCACAAAGAAATGTGCAGCATTTTGTCCAAGCAATAATAAAAGGACACATTTAATTTATAATTTGTCTTAAATCTCATTTTGTTAAAAAATTTATAATAGTGAATCGAATCGAATCGTGAATCGAATCGTGAAATCAAAATCGTGAATCGAATCGAATCGTGAGTTGAGTGAATCGTTACATCCCAATATTTGAGACACGAAATACATTACTGTTCAACTAACACTGACATACAACACCCATGAACCATCCACACTGAGGGCCTTTCCGAAACCTGCTGAGCTCCCCAAGTAGGCAGCATTTTAAGGTACATGACCAACATAAAAAAAGCAGCATAAGAATACAATAAAAGGTATCTAATATTGGCCAAATTCTGAGACATCATCACCAGTGTCCTTCATGGAGAACGCAATCCCACAATGCATCATGAAATGTGGTGGAGAATGCGGGCATATGTTATAAACATACTTGATATACATTCAAACTTGAAAGTTCTCTACAGACAAGAAACTTCATGATGAAATTAACTGCCGATTAGCTTGCGTATGAGGTCACACCAGATCTCCAGAGGGCAAGAGGATTTCTAGATAGATTTTAATTATGTAAAAACCACAAACACACCTAACATTGAACAACTCAAATTATTTATGGTAGACCATGATTGATGTGAAAAGCAGTACTCCAAGGTCGTTGAACAGACCAACTAGCTTAACCAGCAAGACTTCCTTAGTCAATCATCAAATGGAAACTAGTCTAACCTGGTCTTGTGAACAAGGTGTTTCTCTGCTTTTCAACTCCAATAACTCCAGTTTTCAAAGAAGAAGACTAAACTCACCACACCCCACCACAGAGCATCAGCATAGCTAGAAAAACCCGTCTTCCCCTCCTCGTCTACTGCGTCTTTCTCCGCCAGATACACGAAATATGATGAGAAGATCAGACCCAGGAACCCGATGTACAGCGTGGTGATCAGCTCCTGAACCGGGGGAAAATAGTTTGTTAATAATCAACAAAGTTGAACCCATTTCCAAGACTTTAGATTGAACTGTATATAAACATGAATAAATAAGATGTGTATTTGGCATTAGGTGAACATTTTAGCAATGTCCTAAGATCTTAGATATACCTGGTCACCATTTATATTTTTGCTATCGCTAATTCACTTAAACGGTCCTGTGGTGTGTGAATGTTAATGCATTAACTAAGGTTAACTTGCTTTTAATGCAATGTTCAGTTATTTATGTTATAAGAAAAAAGTTATTAAACCTGTTATACTGTATTATGACAGCACTTTTTTTAACTTAATTTCAATATCGTGATAATACCGTATACCGTAATAAAAGCATTAGCAATTAAAAATTTGATACCGGCATATCCCTAGGTGTGACAAATGGATTTTTTAAAGTACGAATATTCCATGTAATCTCCAAATGAATAAAATGAAAATGAAAAATTATTTTTAGAAATGCAAAATAAATAAACCATTCACAAATAAAAAGAAAAATAAGAATGAATAAAATGAATAAATAAATGAAAACAGCAAAAAATGACTCCATGAGTAAATACATAATTAAATAAAGATAAGTACAAGATGTAGGATGTTTTTTATCTCTTAAAAAAGTCTTCACTTTCTCTTGAGTTCCTGATTATTTCAAGGATCTTCATTATTTCAGTGATCTGACTCATTTTTCTTATACATATCTTATACATATCTGACATATATCGTATTACACATATCTTTTATTTATTTATTTATAGATAATAAACAAATAAATATATATATATATTTTTTTTTTTTATTTGAGTAAGTCCAAAGGAATAAAAAACTGATGACAACATTTGTATAAATTTTTTGTACATTTTTGGTGCAATATATAAATTCATGACATGCATGAAAATCTAAGTTAAAACAGGAATTTATTTTATTTATTTTTCTAATTTGTACATTTGGTACATTGTACATCTAGTATTTTCTTGCATTTTTTTTTTTTGCAATATACTAATTCAAGGATAGGATTAAAAACTAAATAAAAAGGACTTTTGAATAAATGTAGTTTATTTGTTTTGTTTTTTGGACTCCAGTAGTCCAGTAGAATAAAAATCTGACAAAATTTGTAAACATTTTTTGGTACATCTTTGGTGCAATATATAAATTCATGACTTAGATGAAAATCTAAGTGACACATGGGACTTTTAAATATTTCTATTTAGTTAGTTAGTTAGTCCAAAGGAATGAAAACCTGATGACACAAATTGTATACATATTTTGGTACAATAATTCGTGCAATATACAAACTCAAGACTAAGATGAAAATCCAAGTAAAAATGGCATTTTTAAACTTGTTGAAATTAACATAGTTTATGTGGCGAATGCCATGGAGTATAAAAGCACCTTATTAGGCAAACCTTCCCTAAGCCCAAGAGTGCATGTGAAGGCCCACGGGGCGCTGAATGAATCAGCCCAATCACGCCTGATCCACTGAGAACTTCAGCCCTTTCATAAGACGTGTGTCAACGCTGAAGCGATTGAGAAAATGTGTGCGTAAAGAGATTGGATTTAATGCATAAAGCCTTAGATCACTGAAACGGGAGCTCTCCGCTTAGATTATCGTAATGTGAAATCATGAGGCCATATTTGGAGAGAAATCTGAGGTTGGCTGTGCCAGACGTGCACTCATTAGCTCTGTTTGATGAAATCAGTGGGTTTCACTGTACTGTAAAGTATTAAGGTGAATATTACGGTCAAGGCCTGACGGCGTAAATCAAGCGCACCTGCCGATGAATAAAAACCACTGATCCCAGAAGCCTCCACGTTCCACCCTGACGATCCACATGCAGCATTCGCAAGATCTGGAGGAAACGGATGCCTCTGCAATCAATGAAATCAGAGCTTCTTTAGTTCACAGAGCAATATACTACAATAAACATCAGGCAAATATGATCATCACTGGTTGTTCTGCTGATCAAACACGTGGATGATGATGCTTCTGTTGCTCATATCTGTACCTGATTGCGGACGTGGCGAACACTTGCCCATTAGACCCAACGCTCAGAACCACGACAGAGGCGACGACCACTATCAGATCTGTGTCACCAGTGAAAGAAGACATCAAACTCATTCATACACAAAGTTATATACAATTATCTTGATTAGGAGATGGCAAAATGGCAAAAAAAATAAAATACTTTAGTCTGTAAATATGACAAATGTTTACACAAAGTTATATACAATTATCTTGATTAGGAGATGGCAAAATGGCAAAAAAAATAAAATACTTTATCTAGTCTGTAAATATGACAAATGTTCCAGCGACGTGAAAATAATTACATTATTTTAATGACATTAATAATGACAATAATGACATAATGGAAAGAAAAACTTTTGATGCAAAATTTATAAATAAAAATACAGCTGATGTAACCATGGTTATTAAAATATATACTCCATCGGAAACTATTCATTCATTCTTTTTTATTTGTTTGTCTGTTTATTTACTTATTGATCACTGCAAATAAATAAATAAATACTTTAGTCTGTAAATATGACATTTCCGTTTAAGTGAAAACAATAACATTAAGGTGAAAGACTCTTTGTTTGTTTGTTTGTTTACTGGTTTGTTTGTATTGATGTTTATTATGTTATTTTTATTAATTAATTTACTTTATTCATGAAGTAATTATTTTGTTTCATTTATTTATTATTAAATATATTTTATTATTACAATTTTTGTTAATTTGCATGCAGTTTATGTGGCATATTAATTTAGAGATTACATTAACAAATATTTCATTGTAGTGAAAATAATAACATTAAGGTGAAAGAAAAACATTTTTGGTATAATTAGTATAAAATATATACTAAACTAAAAAAAAACAATTTTTGTTACTTGAAATAAATGGTAACAAATAAATGGTAATTTATTTTATTTCAGCTATAAAAACTACATAAACATATATAATAAATAAAAATTACGAAAACACACAACAAAATTACTAAAACTTTAAGAGAAATTAATAAAAAATAATAGAAAGAAATAATAATAAAAAAAAACTAATTCTATTAATGAACTATTATAATAAAAACTTAGAGTAGTTTCTCAATTATACTAAAATAATACTGGAAAAAAATAAATAAATAAATAAATAAAATAAAATAAAATAAAATAAAATAAATTTCAGTGTGAGGAATGAACTTGAAGTAATACAATTCATTCAAGTAGATACCTATAATGGAGATGGGTTTCCTGATGAACCTCAGACGGCCTTTAATACCCACATATTTGCTCCGACAGCCGGCCGACCACAGCCGGACCACGTACTCCGTCCCAAAAAACACCACCAGCACGATCTCCTGCAAAGCAGAAAGAAACAGGTGGATCTTTGTATGCATATATGTGTTTCTAAACACTATCCAGAGGATCTGGCTTGGTCTGAATCAATGGCACATGTGGAGGAGCCGGGCATTACGCACTGATCTCTGCTCCTCTCTGACCTCTCATGATCCTTTGACCCTGAGCGGCTCAGGGGTCTCTGGGGTGATACAGGTGGCCTGTCTGCAGTTTGCTTACACAAGTCAAAAGAGCGCTAACAATAACTATAGTCTACTAGCAGAAACATACAAACTGCGTGCAAGCCTATTCACAAAAATAAAATAAAATAAAATAAAATAAAAAAAATAAAATATTAACTGAAATTAAAAAAAAAAAAATTTCAACTTATTTCCACTAATGAGTCACTAGTTGTTGTCCAGTAAGAGTTTGGAGCTATATACATGAATGTGAAACATCTCAGATCCTTTGATGCGAAATGAGTCACTATTAAAATAATACAATTAAAAATAAAATAAAATAAAATAAAATAGTGAAACATCTCAGATCCTTTGATGCGAAATGAGTCACTATTAAAATAATACAATTAAAAATAAAATAAAATAAAATAGTGAAACATCTCAGATCCTTTGATGCGAAATGAGTCCCTATTAAAATAATACAATTAAAAATAAAATAAAATAAAAAGATAAAACAGTAGATGTCTTGGCTGGGTAATAATAAAATAAAATAAAATAAAATAATTAAACTAAATTAAAGGAAGTCTCTTAGCTGGAGACATAATGGAGTTCCCAGTTTCGGAATGTCTCATTTAGAGATCAACTTTGATTTGGAACTTTGATATTTTTGATACAAAAAAATCAATTTGGAATTGTTATTTGTAATCTAGAATGTCAAGCATGTCTTTTGTGATCTTAGGTTTTTAAATGGTTGTACTTTTCAGAGGATTTAAAAAATAAAAATAAAAAGATTAAAAAATGTTATCTTTTCAAAGTAATAAAACCAAACACAACTAAGTCAATAGCTGTTATCCTGTAAATGGATTTTTCCAGAAAGAGACTTAAATTTGACCATTTATTGAGAAATGTTTGCACTGAGATCTCTGACTTTTGACTTTGCTGAGTCTAAAACTCTCTGTTTTTAAAGAGATCTTTGTGTATTATCTCTCATACAGTATAAATAGACAAACGCTGTTCAAAGCCTCTGGGTTTCTCTGGGATCCGCCCCACAGGTGTCTCAAGGTGTGGGTGTACTGACAGAAATACTAAACTACTCAATCAGTAATATCCAATGTGCTTCAAGCCCTTTCCATGAACTCAACATCAGCTCAACTGAGATATGACACTGCCATCCAGTGGGAGAATACAGTACTGCATTAGCCTACTGGAAATGCCACCTGCAGGACAAATAAAAAAATACCCCTTTAACTTTAATAATAAATATCTCAATGTGTGCATGCTATTCAATAAATAAATACATAAATGACAAATACATAAATACATTTTATTTTAGTAACAAAGTATCTGTCTTGGTATTTTCTGCTGAGGTAAAAATAAAATATAAAAAATAATCAAATAAAAAAAAATAAATAAAAAATAAATAAAAATAAAAGCATCTGTCTCAGCTGGGAAAAAAACTATAAACCACAAGCACTTAGTATTTTCTGTTGAGGTAAAAATAAAATAAAATTTAATTTAATTTAATTTAATTTAATTTAATTTAATTTAATTTAATTTAATTTAATTTAATTTAATTTAATTTAATTTAATTTAATTTAATTTAATTTAATTTAATTTAATTTAATTTAATTTAATTTAATTTAATTTAATTTAATTTAATTTAATTTAATTTAATTTAATTTAATTTAATAAAATTTAATTTAATAAAATTAAATAAAATAAAAATATCTGTCTTAGCTGGGCAATAAATATAAACAACAAGCATGGTTCTGCTCTATTAGTTTTCATTCTATATTAGAGGTGTATGATATTTATTGTGTACGATAATATCGTTCATAAATAAATAAATAAATAAATACATACATAAATAATCTGTCTTAGCTGGGCAATAAATATAAACAACAAGCACTTGGTGTTTTCTGTTAGAGGTAAAAATAAAATAAAATAAAATAAAAAATAAAATAAATAGTTTAAAAATACATTTATCAAAAATAAATAGTTTTATAAAAGTAAATAAATAGTTTTCATTATATATTAGGCGTGTGTGATATTTAGTGTACGATAATATCATAAAACAAATAATAAATATAAACAATAATTTATAATAAAATAAAATAAGCAGCTGGGCATAAAAAATTTAATTAAATAAATACAAAAAAATGTATATGCTGTGAAACGCTTACCATCCAGAAGAGAGATCCTGTTGCGAAGTCTGCATACTGCTCGATGGTGGACAGGACGCTGAATATCAGGCAGACTAGGACCATGAGGAACCTGCGGACATAAAGTAGGTAAGATCTGCCATTACACACAGGTGTATCTCTTTCCATTTAATGATTTCATCGAATGATTCAAAACCACATCATTATCTGTTCCCATCAAAACCGCTTCAGAGCCTGATGAAGATTTCAATTATTTTCCATTGAATTGGTTTCTGCAGGCAACACTAGCATTATGGCCCTGATCACGAATCATCTCAAAGGGTCAATACGGCAGTTACCTCGATAATGCAATATTACTCAACACTTTGTCACATACTGTTTGTATTAGCATATAACTACATTTATTGCTTTAATATTCAGTATGCAGTATAAATTTTAAGTTTACACATTCAAAAACTCCCTTGCATTCTTTGCAACTGGAAAAGTCAAAAAAAAAAAAAAAGTACCGTTGTCACATACTGTTTGTATTAGCATATAACTACATTTATTGCTTTAATATTCAGTATGCAGTATAAATTTTAAGTTTACACATTCAAAAACTCCCTTGCATTCTTTGCAACTGGAAAAGTCAAAAAAAAAAAAAAAGTACCGTTATAAACTCCTCTAATGTAAGGGCTATGATATCCAGTTAACCGTAATTCTGCATGCCATTTAAGATGCACATTGGGACAAAGACAAATATATTAAGGCATATTTTTTAGACATCAATCCTCAAAAATGAATGAACGAACAAATTAACTAACTAACTAACTAACTAATTAAAATAAAAAAATAGTAGATGTCTTAGCTGGGAAACAAACTAATTAATTAATTAATTATTTAATTTTAGCTGGGTAATAAGTATAGACAACAAGCACTTGGTATTTTCTGCTGAGGCAAAACAAAAATAAAAAAATGAAATGAAATTTAATTAAATTAAATTAAACAGTAGATGTCTTAGCTGGGTAATAAAATAAAATAAAATAAAATAAAACAGTAGATGTCTTGGCTGGTTAATAAGTATAGACAACAAGCACTTGGTATTTTTTGCTGAGGCAAAAAAAATAATTAAAAAAATTAAATTAAATACGTTTTTTTATATATATAAGCTTAAAATAAAACAAAAAACAAAATAAAATAAAATAAAATAAAATAAAATAAAATAAAATAAAATAAAATAAAATAAAATAAAATAAAATAAAATAAAATAAAATAAAATAAAATAAAATAAAATAAAATAAAACAAAACAGTAGATGTCTTGGCTGGTTAATAAGTATAGACAACAAGCACTTGGTATTTTTTGCTGAGGCAAAAAAAAATAATAAAAGAAATTAAATTAAATAAGCTTTTTATATATATAAGCTTAAAATAAAACAAAACAAAATAAAATAAAATAAAATACAAAAAAAAAGTCACAGACTAGTGATGGTTTTGAACATCCCTAGACAGAACAGCGTTCGTTAAACGAGCATATTGTTAGTGTGCGTAAGCATTCCCACACACAGAGGACAGATGAGAGAGAGTTTAACCACATGAGAGATTACACACTTGCACAAACACACGCTTTTCCTTCAAACACGTACACTCTCCTTCCAACTCAAAAAGACAAACACACAATGTGACTCACACAGCAGTCAGAGATCAAAAAAAGTCACATGTGTATTACAAAAGATAAAGCAGCAAAGGCGTTCTGGAGTTACGTCACGTCCAGATGTACACTGACCTCGAGTGTTCGAGCGGCAGTCTGTTGTGACTGATGGTGGTCTCCTAACGTGCTGCATGTGACCGTTTCAAACCACAGTCATGTCAGAGCAACGTCCTCAAATACTGACTGCTCATCAAAAGAGTCTGAACTGTAGAGCTCTGTGCCTCAGGGTTCAGTTGAAAGCTTCCGTTCTTCATAATTCTATAGGATTCTGTTCTAGTGGTTACCTCTGCAGGATTCTGCTCTACAAGATTCTAATCTATAAGGTCCTAATTTGTGGCAACATACACTACACTCTTAAAAATAAAGGTGCTTAAAAGGTTCTTCACAGCGATGCCATAGAAGATCCATTTTTGATTCCACAAAGAACCATTTTTCAGTCAAAGGTTCTTTAAAGAACAATCTCTTTCTTACTTTTTATAATCTGAAGAACCTTCTTTCACCACAAAGAACCTTTTGTGAAACAGAAACAGCTTTTCCAGATGTTAAAGGTTCTTTATGGAACCATTTAGACAAAAAATGTTCTTCTATGGCATTGTGAAGCACCTTTATTTTTAAGAGTGTACCAGTCAAAAGTTTTTGAACAGCCAGATTTTTTATGTTTTTTTTAAACAAGTCTATTCTGCTCACCAAGCCTGCATTTATTTGATCCAAAGTACAGCAAAAACAGTAAAAATCTTAAATATTTTTACTATTTAAAATAACTGTTTTCTATTTGAATATATTTTAAAATGTAATTTATTTCTGTGATCAAAGCTGAATTTTTAGCATCATTATTCCAGTCACATGATCCTTCAGAAATCCTTCTAATATTCTGATTTGCTGCTCAAAAACATTTATTATTGTTATTATTATTAAGTTGAGAACAGATGAAGTATAATATTTTTAGGTTTCTTTGATGAATAGAAAGTTCAAAAGAACAGCATTTATCTGAAATAGAAATCTTTTGTAACATTATAAATGTCTTTAGCATCACTTTTGGTCAATTTAAAGCATCCTTGCTAAATAAAAGTATTAATTTCTATAATTTCGTTTCCCAAAAAAAAAAAAAAAAATTATACTGACTCCAAGCTTTTGAATGGTATAGTGTATAATGGTTCTTTCTATTCATCATCAAAGAATCTTGAAAAAAAATGTACTCTTAAATATTGATAATGATAATAATAAATGTTTCTTGAGCAAATCAGCATATTAGAAGGATTTCTGAAGGATCATGTGACTAAAGACTGGAGTAATGATGCTGAAAATTCAGCTTTGATCACAGAAATAAATTACATTTTAAAATATATTCAAATAGAAAACAGTTATTTTAAATAGTAAAAATATTAATTTTTTTTACTGTTTTTGATGTACTTTGGATCAAATAAATGCAGGCTTGGTGATCAGAAGAGAATTCTTTAAAAAAACATTAGAAATCTTACTGTTCAAAAACTTTTGACTGGTAGTGTATGTACACTGTAAAGTTTCTGGAGTGACAACCACATTTAAATGCAGGAGTGAATCCCCTAAAATAGAAATGTTTGTGCGGAGCGTGGAAGCTGAACAGTAAATTGGAGGCGCCGATGCGATCATTTGCATTTAACTTAATATACACCCTCAATTTTGCTCAGACAGATAAGAGTAATACATCTTTCGAATCTGTAAAAGGTCTACTTTCATCTGTGTGCACTCAAAATAACAACAAAACATTGCGCTTTTGTAAAATAATGAAAGCAAACAGGGTGCGCTTTCTGCCGTCTCGGTCTCTGTGAAATTGAGCGCGTCAAAAAAAAAAATTAATCTCAACTCCGTGTTTGACTCACAGACATGAAAAATATATCTATAGAAAATGTCTACTTTTAAATGAACCAATTCAAATGGAAAACAAATATGTTCAGATTATGTAATCCGTATGAAAATCCGTATGTAATCCGTAGTCAGTGTCGTTGACTTCGTCACTGCAGCCGAAAATACAGAAAGCACTAGTTTATCAGTGAATTATAATGTTAAGGCAGTCTTCTTGCTGTTTTTTCCCTGACACATTCATAATCATTACTTCTGCCGGTGCGCTGTGGCAAGCTTTATGCATGCGCTTGAGCGCTGATAGGCTACAGGCAATTAAAGGCTCATTATTATGAATTTTCGCTTCAAATGTACAACTATTAGCCGATCAGAAAAATCTTTAGTTGAGGGCAGCACTAGTATTATAGAATGCAACGTTGCCTGTCCCCCTTTTCAGTGGTGCTGGTTCAGTATTTTTTCCATTCATTTTTCCCATAGGGATTTAAAAAGTCTTTGTTAAAGCACTCTAAGCCATGAACAAAACCAACCAGTGAATCACAACATTACAAACTTTGATTTGAAACAAAAAAGTTTTTGAAAATCAGGCAAAAAAAAAAACATAGGTACAAGACTGTGTACTTAAAGGGATAGTTTACCCAAAAATTTAAATTCTGTCATCATTTACTCACTCTCATGTCGTTCCAAACCTGTATGAGTTGCTTTCTTATGTTGAACATAAAAGAATATATTTTGAAGATTGCTGGTAATCAAAGAGTTGGTGGTTCCCATTGACTTCCATAGTAGGAAAATAAATACTATGGAAGTCAATGGGAACCACCAACTGTTTGGGTGAACTATCCCTTTAATGGGTTTAGTGAGTGAAAGAACTACAATCCCATGAAGCACTGCGATTGACAATCAAATTAAAAACAATGGAGAAAAACAATGGGAAACTATCACAAACTTGCCTGAGGCTCTGGATTACAGGTAATAATGCTGTAAATAATGTTCAGTTTCTTGCACAGACCGATAATTTTGCTTCATAAGATCTCAATGTACTGTATTGTCAGGAGCCACAGGTGTTAATTTTGTTCCTTGAGATGCTTTTTTTGACTCTTAAAGTGACAGTAGCAGTCAGCTTGCATTTTATGAATCTTCTTTACAGTTCTATTGAAGAAACAAACTCATCTACATCTTGTGGCCTGAGGTTGTTGAGTAAATTAACAGCAAATTTTCATTTTTGGTTAAGTTTTTTTTTCATTTTTTTTCATCAAGTTTTCATTAGGTTTTTGCTCTGGGTTCTGCTCCATTTGATTCAGCACTGTAAGGTTTCTGCCACACGATCAGGTTTCTGCTCTAAAAGGAGTCAAAGGATAATGACGCTGTACATTACTGAAAGCAGTGGCTTTTAAACATTCACTCCATTTGGAGCCCATAATCAGAAGGCCAAAACAGATTACGACCGAAGTTCTTAAAGTTCTGTCACTAAACACTCTCAATGCTATTCAAGCAAGGCGATTATGTTCAGAAAGCAAGTGCATACTGTATGCCGTTTTAGAACATATTGGGCTTATGTAAAAATCTTAAACAGAGAAAAATATAAGCG